TGATGGCATGAGTGAGGTCCAGTAACCCTCTACCTTTGACAAGTTGAACAAATGAACTTCTTTATGACTCAGTTTCCTCACTCATTTAATGAGGATAAAATGAACTTCCACATTGCAGTAAGGAAGGAAGGAAACAAATTCTAATTTTTGTAAGGCATTTTATAATCAGAAATATTTTCTTTAATGGTCTACTCAAAATTCCTCAACATCCTTCAGGGACATGTGGTAATGTAAAACATCTATTCTGTAAATAAGGGAAATTAAGTTGTCTCAAATGTTTTCTTCCTCTGTACTGTTTCCTGATTCTTTGTTTATTTTTATGAAAACTCCACTGTCTCTTAAAAATTTACCTTAGTGCTGATCTTTACTTTGAGTATCCAAAGACGTGATTATAAATTGAGTTTAAATACATTTTTAAAAACATTCCAGAAAAATGACTAATTAGCACACATGTCATTATTTAAGGGCAAAAAGAACAGACTATGTTCAGTGAGTAAAATAAGTTTCTTGCACAGAGTTTTGAGGTAAATAAACATCTTTAATGACTTCAATTTTAGCATTTCTCATTAATGTAAATATATTAAAAGTCCTAAATGATGTATTCTGAGACTTTCAAGTAATTTATTAAACCAAGTAATTTTTTCCATTCATTGTTCCAAAGACTACTTGTGGCCATAGTACAGCTGGCATTTGATATTCTTATTTGACCTTGATAGTGTTTCTAAATAAAAAGAAGTATGCAATGTTTAGTTTTTTTAGTTAAAGATTTGGTACAGAGAAACAGAAAGAAAAGTTTTAATTTATATTTATGTTTTCAATTTTGAGATTAATCAACTGAAGTTCTTAATTTGAGTCTTACAGGACAAATAAAACTGCTCTCAAAATGAAACTAATTCAATCATTTAAAAAATAGAAAGATGTTTCTTACTAAACACATAAAAATACAGAAAAATTATGTGCCCCTAAATTTTCTAGCAGTGGTGATGAATCTAAAAAAGGGGGCATATTAATATCTCAAAATTTTACTACTCTAGGCATCAGACGTCTACCCTAACCTTCTATCTACTTACCTACATTCAGCCCCACAAACTGTTTCTACTAGTTTCACTAATTTTGTTTTACTTTTAAGTTTTAGCACTAAAAGCACTGGTGGAGTATTTGCTCCAAGTATAAATTTTCTTGTATTTTCAATGGTTTAAAGACTGTGGTTCACTAAGCCTTATTCCTATAGTGTTGAAGTTTGTCTAAATCATCACAAAAAAGAGTTAATCCCAATTCAATATTTTGATATCAAAAATTTGTGAGATGCCATGAAAATGAAAAACATTCTATCTCCCTAGGAAATGCAGGCAAATTAATAATCATGTAAATAATCAAAATAATAAGATTTTTATGTGTTGCTATAATCATTATTGGCATTTATATTGGGGTTTTAAAACTATTTACAAATTCAGATTTCAAGACAGCAATAAACACTCACTCCTACAATGAATGATACTTTTTATTTTCTTTTTCCCACATAAACCACATTTTAGAGAGGCTCTGTCACCAGAAGATAACCCAATTATCCAATTGTAGTAAATGTTCCTTTTGTAGAACTGATGCATCAACTTTGCAAATGCAGTATATGAATTCACTATTGCATGGGATAGAGAAGGCCAGCAAGCTGTAGCTCAGGGAACCAAAAGAGAGAGGAAAAGATATCCATTTTCTCTAAATGTCATGTAGTGCTACAATGACTACAAAATCATATCCATGTCCAGTCCTGTAAGATACAAAATGTAGTACTCTCATCAAGTTGGTTTTTAAGTGGGTTGTTTACTTCCATCTGTCTTACACTTATGGAAAGGTAAAGTGCATGATCTGAGTATGCTTGAGATATAAAATGACTGTATTTTAAAGAAAAGAACTAACTATAAATGTGCAAACGAGACAGTGTTAGCAAATTTAAACAAAATGTTTGGAAAATGTCGGAGTTCAAGCAGCTTCTTTTCTGGAAAATTTTAATTTGCAAACATCATAATTTGACAATCTCCACATTCTTAGATATGTCATAGATATGATAGTTTATGAAAGCAAAAGTTATGTGTATATATTTCCAAAGAAATACACCAAAGCTCAATTTTATTTACCTAATTTGGTTCCCCAGTCAACTAAGTTAATTGCATTTCCTAACTTCTTTGGTGACACTATCCATTTTTAGCATTCTAATTTACCTTTCCTATAAAACTTCATTCTTCATTAAAGTTTGTACCAAGAGTCAAGTAGAAAAATAAATATTCCATTGCAGCCATATTTTTGATAAATGTTAACTGACCACCATCCATTAAACTTCTGTATAATTTATGTTAATTACATATTTATAATCCTTCAAAACTTCTTAACTGAATGCTTCATTTTCCTAATGTAAACACTGTTGTTTGTTCAGATTCTTATAAAAGATTTAACAAGTTACTCTTATGTCCTTAGGCAAAAATAAATTAACTTGGAGGAAAAAACAGACTAATTAAATAAGGTGCCTTGTAGCTTTATACCTGTCCATAACTACAGGAAAAATGATATCTTGTGCTAAAAAGAAAATACATACATCATTAATTAGTCTTTTGGAGTGGTTAATATTAAAAATAAGATATGTTTAAAATAAAATAATTTATCCCTCATAGTTTAGGGACACTTGTTGAAGACATGAAGTACAATTATAGGGTATCAGAATTTACTGAACAGGAGTTATATCTTTCTCCTAGCTTCAGCCTATATTAAACAATCATTATTTTGAGTATCTTTGTCTTTTTAATTAAGTGATCCTCACCAATGTTTACCTGGAACAAAACCCAGGTATGTTTTTCAAAACAAACAAACAAAAACACTGTAAATTTTATTTGAAAAATTGTTACTCTAGATAACAATAACCCAGTAAAACAAAAGATCACTTTTTGCACGTAATAAGTATGACTCAGAATGAGAAATTAAATTCATCCAGAGGAAAATGGATACATATTGAGGATATACTCCTAAGTGAAATAAATAAGTCACAAATGTGTAAATACTGAATAGTTTCTCTGGTGTGAAAAACTATAATAGTACATAAGATCCTAATGAGATATTTGACCATGTGAAATAGGAAGAAAAGGGCTAAAGGTGTAGGGAAAGTGGGAAGGGTAAGAAATAAGGGAAAAGAGAAAAACATAAAAAAATAAAAAATGGAAATAAAGTGCTTGTAAATGGGGAGGGGAGGAGGGGGTGAAGGGAGGGCAGGGGTAAGCAGAAAAAATGAGAATCAAGACCTGTCATGTAAAGGTACAAGATCCCAATAATGAATGCAACTGTACTGTATACCTAAAATGTACCAATAAACTCAATTAAAAAAATAAGTCTGACCCAGGTGAACAAATGTTTCTCTTCTTCGTGGTGGTTTTTGCAGCTAGGCTGAGGGAGACTTCACTAACTTCTGATGCCATTTTACAGTGGATTCAGCATTTAACACAGCAAAGGATGAGAAAGCTTTGAACTCTGCTTGTTGCTCTTAAGTCCTTCATTTCTTTTCACAGTTCTTTGACAAGTTATGTCTCTGACATGCACAGAAATTTTTCAAGCAAAGAGAAAAGAATCAACTATAGAAAAAAATAGTAATCTCTACAACTGTCTACTCACTAAATATTTGTTGACTGCTCTCCCCACACTCAACAGCACCACATGGGAGTCTGAAGTTCATCCTGTCCGAATACGGTTCTCAAAGTCCAGCATATCAAGGTCAAATACAATAATCCCACCTAAACTAGATGTGGTTTCTGTTGATCCAGAGACCTATGATTTAAAAACACATTTCCTGCCCCTAAACACATACTCAATAAACAAAAACGAGACAGCCCAGGGTAATCACACTCACACGTAGAAATGAGGAGAATGCACATACACCTCAGCCCTTCAGTGATGAAGGTCTGCTGAGCACAGTGAAGGCTTCCCACTGCTGTGTGGCTTCTGTCTCTACCCGAGGACAAGTTCTCTTTTTCCATTCCCTTCCTTGATTGTATCCGCACATACAGCCCCTCAAGTTTGTACAGCTGTCTCAACCTCAGTGCTCACATAAACAGGTATGCACAGAGTCTATTTTTCATCTTAATACAGGAAAAGCTTCTTCAGACTGGGCTTGCAGTTTCTCTGGCCGTACAGCGGATTTCTCTCCTATGGTTAAGAGGCGTCTTCTCTGTCTCCAGTGTGTCCCAGAACCATAATCATACCCACATTCTTTAACACCTAGATCTCACATCTAGAGCTTCGTTTTCTCCACCCCATGCCATTATCTATCACTTTGATGGTGAGGCCTGAAGTTCATCTGTAGTAGCAAGTGGAAAAGCCTTCCTTTAAAAACTTTGTCTTCCTTACAACTTTAGTCAATTTAAGGGCTTTCATGAACTTTAATCAGCTGAAAGTTTTTGTCTAATATCTGTTACCCAAAACGTCTATAGAAATCCTTTGCTTACCATTTAGGGTCAAGAAACAGTTTTTCTAAGACTGTAAGAATCCACTTTACTACATTCTTTTTGTTTCTTTCCATCTCTAAGAACCAGTTGATTATTGTATGAATTTATCTTTGTTTTGCCAAATAGAGCCAATACCAGTATATATTTAAGCCATGGTTCAAGTTTCTCCTTCTTACCCAAGAGCTAAAGTTACCTAGGCCTGTCATTTGCCTTCTAATTTTGATCAAATGTTTTACTATTACATAATATGAATTTTCTTTTTGTTTACTCCACGATCAGTTCTCACTGCCTGTCAACTGCCTCTCAACTGCCTCCAAATATTTTGTTATTGTAGAACCCTATTTCTAAAACTCATTTTTGTGTGAGAATAGTTATACTTGATAACAGATTAACCACCTAATCTCAGTGGTTTATGACACACAGGTTAATATCTTCTTCACATGAAATATACAACTCCCTAGGGAACTCCTCCATTTAGTCAGGCAGAACCAAATTCTTAGCCGTCGGTCTTTAACTTACCTTCTCGCTTTATAGATCCTGGGGTAGCCAGAGCAAGGAGAATTTACAACCGTGCTTGAACATCTTAAGACACATGCCACTTTCTCTCGAGATCTTACTTCAGATTTAGATGCACAGTCCTGTCTTAATGCAAAGGAAAATGGTGGAATTATATTTTTTCCTGTAACATTATAGTACCATGATATATGACTAGAGGGAGGGAGAATATATTGACATTAGCTTTGCAGGATTTTTATATTCAAATAATAAAGCTAGTATTAGCAATTCTTACTAAGGATGAATGTCTGGTTTAAATTTTTTAATTAGCTCAAAAGATATTTATATATCAGGAGTCATACAATAATTTTGAGAAACAATAGTAATGGTTTATTTAATGTTATACATTTCCTTAGTGGAAGAACAAAAAAATCAAGAAGTGAGAAATGTCCCATAATCTTAATATAAGGATTTCTCAATATAAACAAGAAATATTCAGTCACCCCTTAATACCTTTCTTCATCCCATGGATAAAACAGCTTTTTGGATAAATCATATTAAACAATAGTTAGAAGGCTGTACTCCAAACATCATATGAGGGGTCCTAATATTCCCATTTTTCTGTGTACCTAACAATTCTTACACAAAAATATTTCCACCACACTTTTGTAATTCTACAGTAAGTAGAATTACAATGCTTTGTAGGTATTTAAATAAATGAAGATTCCCAAGAAATAAAAATCATTTCCAGTATCTTCTCAACTACTATAAACTGAGACACAGATTTATGAAGAGTGTCATCTCTGATAAGTCTTTTTATTTCCTTTTTGAAGTTATATTTTCTCTTCCTGATCATAAAAGTAACACATGGATTGCAGTCCAATATTACAAAGAAAACCTAATAAATAACAATCACCCATGGTGCCAGGACTTAGTGATTACTGCAATTGGTATCAAGAAAAATATTCTTCCAGTCTTATATATGCATGTGTTACCAAACTAGGATCTGTTAACCAAATGATTTCCTAGTTTGCTCTGTTTCACTTAAACAGCATAACCAATTTTAATATACATAAATATAAATGAGCTCCTGCACTTTTAACCACATTGTATTCTATTGGAAGCATGCTCCATGAATCATTTATACAATTTTCTACTGATATCAGGACATTTAATCTGCAAAATTATTTTCACCATTATATATTTTAACATGGGCATTTAAGTACATACATTTAAGTAAGTTTGCCCTATTATTTCCCTTAAAATAAACTTCTAGAAATATAATTTTCTATCTAAACAATTACAAAGTTCACACTCTGAATTTTTGAAAAGTATCCTTCAGAAAAGTTATAAAAATATATTAGCTTTCTAAGGGTCCATCATGAACATGTTTAAATAATTTATGGTACTTCCATGCACTAAAATATTGTGTTACAAAAATTAATGATTAGGAAAAGTATTCATCGGACTAAACTGAGTAAGATATAAGATATAACAAGGCATACTAATGATATATGTTGCTGTTTAAATTGTAGCATACATAATACATTTGCGGAGGGTACATGACAGAAAGTGCTACAACTAGGACAAAGGCTTACAGTAGACATTCAAAATTGTTTTATCTCCTGTTGTAGTTGTTAAATATGCACAAATGTTTACAATATTGTTAAATATATAAAAACATTCAATTTGTACAGATTTTACTTGTAATCTGAAAAATAATTCTAAGGAAACATCAAAAGTCACAAGGCTGAAGAAACTTTTCCCATATTTTATAGTTCATATCATACTAGAAACACTATTATAACACAAAAACTCTCTAAATTTGCTCTAATTTGTAATGTTTAAATATTCCGGACTAAAACACATTTGTGCAACAAAGAACTTGTTTTTAGCTCATGAAAACTCTTCGTGCCTAACAGCAAGCAGAATAAAACTTCTCTTCTTCGCTGAGAAAGCAAACATAGAGTAAAGCTGTGAGGCTTCTGAAAACAGATTGGAAAACTGTTCCCTAGCTATAAGTCCCTGCCTACAGGCATTTTGGAAAGCATTTTGGAGGGGAACAAGCCATTAATAAAGACTCGATACTTACAGTGACCCTTGAGCAATTCCAGATGCAGACGTGGAGGTTCTTTCCACAAATAATCAGAAAAGGGGATGCTACAAGAAGTGACAGTTCAAAACAGGCTTGCACCAGGAGAGAACTGCGTGGGACACAGAAAAGACTCAGAAGAAGTGAAACAACACAAAAAGAATCCAGAGCCTCGATCAAACATAACCAAAGACTGTTTCTCTTACAAGGGTTTTACCAGGTCCTTAAGTGAGGAGGAAATATATGACATTTTATATTTCCTGGATATGATTATAGGTTTATCAACAACTTATTTTTATATGTTCATATTCCCATCTATTGCAGTGCTAATTTTTATATGGAGTAACTCATTTAATTCTCACACAAAACCAGAGTAGTAGAGACTGTTATTCTCATTTTATGATTAGAAAAGTGAGATAAAGACACTTCAGTAGTTTGGCCACCCTCCTGTGTTTAGAACAGAGGTCAGCAAGCTTCTTTATCGACCAGTAAGTAAATATTTTGTACTTGTTGGCCTTGAAGTCTTATCACAACTACTCAACAATGTTGCTGCACAGATCCAAAGCATCTACAGACAATACTTACACAACTACATTGCCAAATCGGGTGGTGGGTCCACTGGCCCTGGCTTATCTAACTCTGACCTAGAGAGCAGTAAATCAAGATTCAGCCCCAGTCTAAGCTTTCAATAACTGAACTTCCATGTAGTATGTGCAGTCCTGAAATTTGGGCAGTTCCCAGCCTTCTGAACTAGAATGAATCAGAAGGGGATGATGTTGAGCTATATTTTTTTGAGGGGGGGTGTGTGTGCCGTGGACCTAACTTGGGACCTTGTGCTTGCAAGGCAGGCAGCGGAACCACTGAGCTAAATCCCCAGCCCTGGGCTATGTTTTAATACAGAAATATTTAGTTTAACAAATCTTATAATCTACATTTTTATTAATTTCAAATTTACTGACAGTTAAGTTGTCTCATAAGCATAATAATTTAGGACTATATAGCTCTATCAATTTCAAGTTACTTAAAATTCAAATTAGTATGAAAAAATATTTTGATCACATGTGGTTCTTCTTGTATTTGCAAAGTTGAAAAAATAATTGGGGTTGGGGATGTAGCTTCGTGATAAAGCACTTGCCTAGTATATGAGAGGTCCTGGGATCAAAAGATATTACCACCAAGAATAATCAATAGATGGAATTGGTTAATTTTTAATAGTAGCCTTGTCAGAAATATACATGAACAAAGGTCATTTAAGACTCCTAAAAAAATTGTGAATAGACAAGAGAAAAAGGAGTCATAAAATTTAAACTCGGTTTTTAATGTTATTATGTTTTTTGAGCCAACTCTTTCTAAATCTGGGTCCTCCTTACCAAAGTGGCAATCATATCACCTGTTAGCTTACTGTCAATTGATTAAGACATTGGCTACATTTCTAAAAAATTTCATAAAGATACAGTGATAGACAGTATTACTTTTTGCAAGCACTTGTAGCCTGACTCTTAGGAAGAAATGCACTCTCTGCTCACTGATATCAGCATTGGTCATACGACTTGGGAAAAGGGAGACATGACACATGTCACTGGCAAGCAGAAAATTAAAGACACAATGTAATTTGCCAGGTTCTTTTTCTTCTGTGCCATGAGACCAGGATATTCCAGATAAGGGTCACTCCATCAACCTTGACCCTGGAGTGAGGACAGCATGGAACAGTACGGACACCAACCTGCAACACCACACAGCAGGAGTGAGAAATAAAATTCTGCTGTGAGCCACTGAAGTTTTAGGTCATTTATTATCATAGGCTAGCTTAGCTTATCCCAACAACTAATTGATAAAATGTTAAAATCTAATTACATGCTTCACTTTAACACTTTAATTAGAATTAGTAATATAAAAGGGAAGCAATATAATCTAATTGACTCAAAGAAAACAGTATTTAAATGCTTCCTATATGTTAATATAATCACTCTTAACAAAATATAAGAGCATATTTTTGTTTGCACTAACTAGAAAGATGTTTATATGAGATTTATAATCCAAACAGGATTTTAAAATTTATTTATAGGATACTAAGCATATAGCAAATAAAGCATACATAGAAACAATATTGGTCACTACTAAGAAATCATCTATAGATAATTTAGAAAATAGGGCTTTTCCTACCCTATTTTATAGGAACTTTCTTTTTATAACCCAGAGACATTGAAATTATTGTCAAAAACAAAAAAAGATATGATTCTCAAAATGCTTTAGCAAAACGCAACAGATTTCCAAAACCCAAAGGCTAAAATAGATACATTTCCTTGTCTAGGGACTAGGTCTTTATAGAACACAGAGCCTATCAGGATTTCTGGTTTTTAATAAGCAGTAAACTGTCATCAGAATTCTAAATACAAAATCTTTAATATCTGATTGAACACATGAAATTTATGATTCCAGTGATAACATGAGATTTTCTGCAATTTCAAGGAATTATCAACACTGTATCGGGGATATCCTGCCCTCTACTGTCAGCATTATAATTTTGCATGTTTGAATAGTTATTACATCATTTCATTTAAAATCAGGGTTGTCTCCTTCCACACATTAGTGTTTAAACATTTTGTTTGTGTATTAACTGTTTTCTTAGAAAATTAATACTATGTTTCAGTTATACTCCAAAGTTAATCACTTTACATTGCTCCTGAATAATTAAAGAACTCAGAATGCTTTCATCTATTAAGTCATCTTTCAATTTATATTCTCTGTATTTATTTCTCTTGATTTTATGCTATTAGAAAAAGTTGTGATTATTTAATTTAAACGTTTATTGATGTTACACAGGTGTCTTCTATGTTATTTGCTTGGCCTTTTTTGTGTCTTAGATTTAATTTTATGTCAGTTCATCTTTAATGTTTGTCTCCTGGTGAAGCATGGTCTTCATTCTAGTTCATCCCTCTTTTTTAAAGTAAGCTCAATGATAAAGTTCTAGAGTTCCCATTGTTTTTCTTCACTACTTGAAGATAATACTTTTCTGTCTCTAGCTTCCATGTCGCTCTTCATACTGCTTATCCCAACGCTCCAAATGGCCTTTCTCACTAGCCAGCTTAGTAGTTCTTGTCCATTGATTTACCCCATGAATAGTCAAACAATCTACTGTAGCCAAGCTCTTATTATTACCAGTTTAGAGAATTTTCTGCCATTTTCTAGGAAATCTTTTTATTGGCTTTGTACTCTACTTACGTTATGCTTTCCTCAGTTGTACTTGATTACTCTGTATCGGTTATTTACTAATAACCTCTCAAATTTTCCTATATTGTGATCATCTCTAACAGGAAGTTTAGAATAGCCACAGATTTACAGTGTATAGTTTATATAATTCACACTTACGTTGCTGAACAAGAAATATGCTCATGCATCAACAAGTAATATTTCACACCATGGTAGTGCTATTGTATATAAATATAGTAGTTAGCACAATGCCATTCCAAATGTTTTAAAATCATGTAATTTTCATGACTAAAAAAATAGAGGAATCTTCCAGTGTACTTTGCTTATTTGTAAATTACATATATGTCCTACCATATACCTTGACAATAGTATGAAGTATATTTTATTGAAATATATTTTATGTGAAATATATTTTATTTTTTGAAAAATAAATTTGAATAAAACATTAGTTTACATTTTGATTGCATGCTGAAGTGCATGGCTGCTAGCATGCTAAAAGATCTTGAGAGAACCTTCATGTATTCGCAGCTTCTGTTGAGCAGCCTTCACTGTACAGTTGGATTAGCTTCTCCTTAGGACAGTAAATATTTTCAGAATCTTTCAAGTAATTCAAGAAGTACAACTGAAAAAGTCCCCACAACAGTATTTTTAATTACTAAATATGGCCCTACCCTATTAAATAATATACCAATTAAAAAATCAAGTAAAATCTCACTTGGAGTCAAAATGTTTCTCATCAACGTAACAAAATTCACTTTAGCCCATAACATATTTGGTACTATATTAGGTGCAAATGATAAAGCGATGACAACACAGACCTGGTCGGAGGTCATAGCTTGAAAACTTGTTTCTGAGAGACTCCCAAATATTAAGCCAGTACAAGAAAGTGTGATGAGTGCTAAGATAGGAAAAGTACAGCACACTATGTGAGTACTTAATTTTAGAAACATTTTGAAAAGATGCAGGCTCTTGTGATTTGGCTTGAGATTATACCTTAGACTGGACCTGTTTTATTTCTTAGCTCTGAAAATCACATCGTAAGTCATTTGTTCTCCCTGTGTTATTTGAAATCCTAGGTGGACACGAAAAATGCTTCATAAAAAATTAAAACTTATTAAAAACGTTAGTGATGATTTACAAACAAAGTTTAGTGCTGATAGCTGCAAGTCAGTACACTCTTAAAAGGGCATCTCCTGTGATGGAGGGATTCATTGAAAACAGATTATTAGAAGTTCAGTGAATCATACAAATGTGTCTGGGTTCCCTGAAATCAAGACAATGAGAAGCAATAAACATGGGAAGGTGATGATACACTTTTAGAAGTAAACTGTACCAGTTTAAATTTAATTTGGTATAATATGTTACAGCACAAAGTTAAAGAGCACTGAATTACAAAGTTATCATGAGTAGAGATTCATTAACATCCAGCAGATGTTTCACGTGCAATATCTTTCTATAATGAACAAAAATTACCTACATTTCCCCCCTCTCTTTCCTTCTTTCTTTTTGCTTTCTCCTTCCTTCGTTCTCTCTCTTCCTTCCTGCCTTCCTTCCTTCATTTCTCTTTCTTTCACTGGAAGTGAGCATTGAACCCATGCTAAGCCAATACTCTCCCACTGAGCTACATCCCCAGCCCTTGTTACTTTGAGACAGGTATCACCAAGTTGCCCAAACTAGCATGGAATGTGAAATCCTCCTGCCTCGGCCTCTCTAGTCGCTGAGATTATAAGCATGCTTTACCAAGCCTTGCTTCAGTAACTTTCTTCACACAAGAAAGTTTGTACATATGGTCCGGATGCTATGTAGCCTTAGAACTACACGGTGATATGCTTGGGATTTCACCAAACTGGAGCAAAATGACAGCTCATCTTAGTGACATGTAAGATTTACTTAATCCTATATAATTGAAAGCATTTAGACAGATCATGTAAAATGCATACATTTCTGTGAACTTTTTTTGACAAAACATGACTGCATAGGTGGCTTGTGTTTGTAGTTGGCCACTTCTGGCTGTGGCCCTGTCTTGGGAAAAGCCTATTTGAGAAGACATGTCTAAAAC